GCATCTTCTACGGCTTCATTTGGCCACAAGGTACTAGAACACGCATTAACATTGGATAGGACCCAGGCCCAATCTAATTCCCCACCCTAGGGACACAGGGCTTTGGTATGTCCCATCCGTGGGTTCTCCATCCAATCATGCTGGAGAAAGGGGCGTTGTCTTACCTGAACGCCTTTTCTCAGCATGATGATGGAGAATCCACTCCCTCCCATTAGGTCAGTTGGCCTGGTTCCCATTTGTTCAGACGCGTCGGTCTAAAGTCTGGGTATCGCCTTAGTCTAAAACTGGGGTGCACTTGGCACAGAGGGGGCGTTACCAATTTCAGACTTAGTCCAATTGGAGCAGATAGATTAAGACAACCCATCCGTGGATTCTTCATCATCATGCTGAGAAAAGGCATTCAGGTAAGACAACGCCCCTTTTTCATTAGAAAGATACAGTAATAGAGTCTTCATCTCTGAATGCACTTTCCTCTTCCTCCTTTTACATTGTAAGAATGAGGGAGCTTGTAAGAACTTTTCTCAGGTGACCCTTCCTGCACACACTCAAGTCCTTTCCTCTGATTGTTGTTCTGGCAGAGGCTGCTCTTGAAAGTGATTTTTAATCTGCATTGTTTGAGAATTTAGAGGGATGTGCAGTTTGAACATTATGAAATTTCTAATGTGCCAATTGCACTAGCTTCCACTTTCAAAGCAGTAGTTATTACCCATAATGCCATACAATAAAATTACTTTCCTTACTTCATTCTCTTTGATTGTCGCTTATTGCCCACCTGAACTGACAGTGCAGGCCTGCTCCAGGACGGGACCTAGATTCTAGTATTTGTGTCACAACTTCAACCTAATGGAACAAAACTCCCCAGGATATCTGAATGGCCCTAATTTCATTGACATTGTAAGAAATAAACATGAAAGCCAGAATTTTCCCACAGAATTTTGGTTCTAAGGATTAAATGAGTCTGTTCTTAATTACTTAATATCCACATCAAGTTTTAGACTAGGAGGAAAATGATTTTGGATCTCATGATTAGTATTGTTGTATCTTGAAAAAGGCTGAGAAGCTAAACATTCTTTATTTTTGGGTTAGAGAATTATCAGGATTCCTAGGGCCCAGTTGTGAATTTAAATTAATTTTTTACTTTATCTGCAAGCATTAGACAAGGTTTGTCTGTACAGACTGAGTTACTTTTTATTTCTTCAATTAAATTAAAAACTTCATTGATTTTTAATGAAAATGACAAAACATATGAATGTAATATTAGGCAGAGCTTTTTTTGTCATTGAATGCATGGAATGGCGTTCGGGCACCTTTTTTCAACGGAATTTGTGGAACTAAAAAAAGTTCATTCAGACCTTCCAACTTCTTGTGAGAAAAAATAAGATCTCACAAGGAGTTGGAAGGTCTGACTCAACTTTTCTTAGTACAACAAACTCCATTTCCCTGCAGCAGAAGTTTAATGAACAAATCCCAAATTCTCTTTCCTAATTTAGGAGCATGAAAAATGCTGTACACATCACTTTAACATTATTGATTAGGATCACCTTTGTATTTTTTCACCCCAAATTCTTTATATTTTAAACAGAAAAACTCCAGGAATTGGATGAACTAGGAAACAATCCCACTTGTCCATTCTCCTCTATTTCTTTAGAAAAAGACTGTAGTGTTGTTTAATGCATATCCTTCCCTTTTGTTGAAAACCAGTCTATAAAAACATGATCAGTTCCTCAATGGATTCTATATTTACTTATTTTCTTTTCATAAGGAAATAGATATGTTGGATAACCAGTAGATGTGGTCTGTTTAGAGATGCATCACAAATATGGGAGATATTGAGTTTTCCTAGTCATAACTTCTCTTATTTGTGAATGTTTTCTATGAACACCCCTCAATGTAATTTTTTAAAAAAAAGTTATTTGTATTTTTTCTCTATTATATTTTTACTTTCTTCCCTTTCATAAATTAAGCATACAACAGCATGACAACAGAATAGAATGGGATACAGTGGGATGGAGTGGGAAAGGATGGAATGGAACTAGAGAGCAGAGGAGAGGAGAGGAGAGGAGAGGAGAGGAGAAGAGAAGAGAAGAGAAGAGAAGAGAAGAGAAGAGAAGAGAAGAGAAGAGAAGAGAAGAGAAGAGAAGAGAAAGGCAACACAACCAGGACAGGACTGGACAAGACAGGATAGGATAGGATAGGATAGGATAGGATAGGATAGGGTAGGGTAGGGTAGGGTAGGGTAGGGTAGGGTAGGATAGGGTAGGATAGGATAGAGTAGGGTAGGGTAGGGTAGGATAGGGTAAGAATAGAACAGAACAGAACAGAACAGAACAGAACAGAACAGAACAGAACAGAACAGAACAGAATAGAATAGAATAGAATAGAATAGAATAGAATAGAATAGAATAGAATATTTGGCCAAGTATGATCAGAAACACAAGCAATTTGTCTTTAATTCAGCAGCTCTCAATGTAGATGCAAGGCAACAGTGTAATAATAATAATACTGAATAACTCAGGACATGGTTATCAAACATCAAAAACATCTGCTAGACTATCCCACCTCCTTTACATGGATGATCTGAAGCTGTATGGAAAAACATCATCTGAAATAGAATCGCTGCTCAACACTGTCCGTATATATAGCAAGATATTGTAATGGAGTTTGGCTTGGACAAATGTGCCACACTTACTATCAAACAAGGAAAAATAGTGAAAACTGAAGGAATCAAGATGCCCCACGAAAATAACATTAAAAGTCTGGATGAGGAAGAGTACTACAAATACTTGGGTATCCTTCAAGCTGACAACATCAAGCACACTGAAGTCAAGAAAAAGGTTAGAGGTGAATACATCAAGAGAGTGAAGAAGATCTTAAAGTCCAAACTCAATGGAGGAAATACCATAAAGGCAATCAACACCTGGGCAATCACAGTCATTAGATACACAGCTGGAATAGTGGACTGGACTCAAGCAGAACTAAAAGCAATGGATAGGCAGACCAGAAAAATAATGACAATGAATCACGCCCTTCATCCACGCAGTGACATTGATAGACTTGATCTACCAAGGCAAATAGGTGGGCGTGGAATGCTACAAGTACATCAGATGGTTGAAGAAGAAAAAATGGCTTTGGAAGATTATCTGAAGAACAATGATGAAGATGCACTGAAATTAGTATATCAGGAAGGCTTACTGACTACTGGAGAGACCAAACTGGCCTACAAGAAAGACCAAATGAAGAACAGAATAGAGGCATGGGAAGACAAAGCACTACATGGCCAATACATTCAAAAAAATAGCTGGGAAAGCAGATAATAACAAGACCTGGCAATGGCTAAGAGCAGGAAAATTGAAGAAAGAGACCGAGGGACTAATTCTGGCTGCACAAGACCAAGCCTTAAGGACAAATGCATACAAAGTCAAAATTGAGAAGACAGCAACAGACAGTAAGTGCCGCCTCTGCAAAGAAGCTGACGAAACAGTGGACCACTTGGTAAGCTGTTGCAAGAAGATTGCACAAACTGATTACAAGCAGCGGCATGACAAAGTAGCAACAATGGTGCATTGGAAGATCTGCAAAAAATATCATTTGCCTGTAAGCAAAAACTGGTGGGATCATAAAATAGAGAAAGTCATAGAAAATGATAAAATTAAACTGCTCTGGGACTTCAGAATTCAAACAGACAAGCACCTGCAACATAAAACACCAGACTTAACAATTGTCGATAAGAAAGACAAAAAAGTCTGGATAGTGGACGTGGCAGTGCCTGGAGACAGCAGAATAGAAGAGAAAGAACTGGAGAAGATAACAAAATACAAAGACCTACAAATAGAAATAGAAAGACTGTGGCAAAAGCAAGCAAGGGTCGTACCAATAGTCATAGGCTCCTTGGGCGCAATCCCAAAACAACTGGAGCACCACTTGAACACCATTGGCATTGACAAATTTGATATTAGTCAATTGCAAAAGGCGGCCTTATTAGGAACTGCTTCCATCCTGCGACGATACCTGTAATACCATCAAACATCCACATCTGCCTATCCCAGGTCCTGGGTAAGGACTCGATAGGTAGACAAAATACCAAATCCAGTCTGAACATCTGGCTGACTGTGCGATGATTGAGAATAATAATAATAACAACAACAACAACAACAACAATGTTGGAAGGGACCTTGGAAGTCATCTAGTCCAGCTCCCTGCTCAGGCAGGAAACCCTATACCATTTCAGACAAATGGCTGTCCAGTCTCTTCTTAAAAACTTCCAGTGTTGGAACATTCACACCTTCTGGAGGCAGGTTGTTATAAGTACTGTGAGGATTAGATGCTCAGCAGAGTGATGGCACAAGTGAAAAACTGTCCCTGTGTCTAGTTGTTTTCGCATGTAATGCTATAGGACAGGGGTGTCAAACTCGCCACATCACACGATGTGTCATGACATATCTTGACTTTTTCCCCATTGCTGGAGCTGGGGTGGGCGTGGTTTTGGTATGATGCATCCAGCCTGCAGGCTGGCAGTTTGACACCCCTGCTATAGAACATGAAGTGTTTGCATGAACGTAATGCCCTATATTCATGCAGACATGAAGTGTCTGCATTTAATATCTCATCAGGGACTTCATGCAGAACTGAGATTTCAATTTCTCTCCATCTCACTTTATCATAAGAAAGACAAAGAGGTCCATGAGCAACTTTGTAACAAATTTAGGTTTTAACACTGAATTTATTTCCCCCCACTCAATAGAGGTGGAACTCATGCAAAGTTTATGAGATGCAATGCTGATGCTTCTCTTCAAAATAAGCCTATCCACTATGAGTTCCTCACTTCCTTTGAAGTTCAAAGATCTCACTGGGACATCCTAGATGGCCATCAGGGCATTGTGGTTCTTTGCATTTTGGTTTACAGTGCTTCCAAGATGTAAGAATATTTAATGAAATATTAGGAGATATTAATTTGGTCAGTGATGTTGTTTATTGATCACAATCCTTTCTGTTTTCCCAAGGGGTCTTCTCAGCCGTTCAACTTGTAGAATCTGAACCAGGAATAGTGAGACCTGGAAGTCAACTCAACCTACTTTGTAAAGTCACAGATTTCTCCATTGCTACTTCTTCACAATACGCTTGGCATTGGATCAGGCAACCAAATGGAAAAGGTCTCCAATGGCTTTCAGCCATAAATGTCAATAATGGAGGCAAATGGTATACTAATTCTGTAAAAAGCCGTGCCACCATTTCTGCAGATCAGTCCAGGAACGAGTTCTCCCTCCAGCTGAATTTGGTCATAGCTGAAGATTCATCTGTGTATTTCTGTTTCCGAGAGCACACAGCAACATATCTTCTATTTGTGGTCTGTAAAAAACAAGCGAGCGAGAGAGAGAGGGGTGGGGGAGAGAAAGGGAGAACTGATAGAACAATGTATAAGTATTTTCTTTTTGTAAAATGGGATTAGTTTTATTAGATCAAAATTTACAGAGTTTCATAGGGAGACACCAGAGGTCTGGTGAGAATAGATGCATACTAATTTTCTTTTCTAATATAAGAGGCTGAAAAGTGCTTCAATTTTTAAAGAGTTAAAGTTCTCCATTACCATCACCCCTTTTTTTTTGTTTGCAGATAAGAGAAATAGGAAGTTGTTTAGCCTGGAAAACTCCTACCTGTCCTGTCTTTCCTCTTTCTTCTGAAAAAGCAGAGAGGACACTGAATGGCCTTCCTTGGAACTGGACGAAGCCTCTAGGAGCCTCATTGCAGAAGGCTTGATATTTTTTGCTATTTTTTTCTCTATTATATTTTTACTTCCTTCCCTTCCACAAATTAAGCAAAAACAAAGTATTGATCCATGCTGATATGACAATAGACTACACTAGACTAGACTAGACTAGACTAGACTATAGACTAGACTAGATTAGACTAGACTAGACTAGACTGGACTGGAATGGACTGGACTGAAATGGACTGGACTGGACTGGAATGGAACGGAATGGAATGGAATGGAATGGAATGGAAGGAAAGGGAAAGGAAGGGAAGGGAAAGGAAGGGAATGGAATGGAATGGAATGCAACGGAATACAATGGAACGCAATGGAACTCAATGGAACGCAATGGAATAGAATAACAAGAGAGAAGAGAAGAGAAGAGAAGAGAAGAGAAGAGAAGAGAAGAGAAGAGAAGAGAAGAGAAATAGGATAGGATAGGATAGGATAGGATAGGATAGGATAGGATAGGATAGGATAGGATAGGATAGGATAGGATAGGATAGGATAGGATAGGATAGGATATTTGGCCAAGTGTGATTAGACACATAAGGAATTTGTGTGTGGTTCAGAAGCTTTCATTGTACCTGCAAGGCAACAGAGTTATAATAATCATAATAATGTCACCGATAAGAGAAGTATGAGAGAAGATGACAAGGATAATAATGTTACAACCATACAATAGGAGTGAATATATTTAGATATAAGACAGTATTATAAGGATTAGATGCTCAGCAGAGTGATGGCAAAATGGAAAAAACACCTGCCCCTGTGTCTAGTTGATTTGGCATATAATGCTACAGGACAGGAAGTGTCAGCATGAATGTAATGACCTATGTTCATGCAGACATGAAATGTCTGCACGTAAAATTTCAACAGGGAGTTCATACAGAACTGAGATTTCAATTTCTATCCATCTCACTTTATCAAAAGAAAGACTAGGAGCCAGCCTTAAAACACATTCAGGTTTTAAATCTTCATTTATTTTTTTCACCACTCAATAGAGGAGGAACTCATGCAAATTTTATGAGATGCAATGCAAAGCATCCAGTATGAGAGCCTCATTTCTTCTGAAGTTCAAAGACCTCACTAAGACACCCTAGATGGCATTTTCCACGAGAAGCCATATTTTTTCATTACATGTTTTGAATTGTATGGAATTTCCTCTCCTTCTGTTTTTTTCTCCAAATCAAGTTCTATTTTGAGAAGATCTGTAGACACAGCAAAGTATAAATTAAAGGCAGGAAGTGTGAATTCTAGCTGTCTCTTAGAAATATTAAAAAAAAATCAGCTAAAATAGGAAAATCTTGCAAGTCTGATTCTGCTGTATTTCCCATCCTTCTTATACCCCAATGAATCAGGGGGTAGTTGTCTTAATTGTTTTTGAATATTTGAGGATTGAGTCTGGTCCTCAAAATAACTTTCAGTTCCCTTTCCCATTGTAACAGTTTCTGCGTAATTCTGTCAAAATTACCAGCACCAAGATATAATCTTCTTTGCAAAAAAATAAAATGAAATAACCAGTCACAGTGTATGGCAGTCATTTGAAATATTTTTTGCCAGTCTCTGACTTTTTTGGCCAGTTTTGGATTTGCTTCACAACTGAAAGACTCTCTTATCAATCACTGAAAATAATGGTTGAAAAAATGCGCCTAGCAATGTGGTTGCCTCTATTTATGACAGCACTGACTTACAACCAATATTCTAGTCGATATGTCAAGGACTACTTGCATCCAGATACACTCAATTATCTTTGTGAAAATAGCAGAGAATTTTCTACTAAATTTCACAACACTTAAGGACTTCATCTCCTATTTATACAGTCCTGGCAAAATTTATGCAAAGCCAATATGACTTTCACTTCCTATTTAAACTCTTGTTCTCCTTTTTCAGGCTCAACTCAAGGTGTAAATCTTATCCTTCCAAACTTCTTCACAATGGCAATCCACTTCTTAACTCTCATCACGCTGGCTGCCTTCCCCAAAGGTTTGTAGTTTGGTCCATGCAAAGCTTTTTTTAGCACTCAAGAAAATGTCATATATTAACTGTGGATCTTACTTTCTAACCATTACCCAATTGTGCTTTGTCTTTTTCATTAGGTGGCCTCTCTCAGATAGCTCTGACACAGTCAGATCCAGTGCTGAAGAAACCAGGAGAATCCCATAAATTGACTTGCGCTGTCACTGGATTCAATGTTAACAGCTACTACATGGATTGGATCAGACAGAAACCTGGCCAAGGACTGGAATGGCTTGTTCACTATTACTCATCTAGTATCAACTATTATTCACCAACAATCCAAGGACGTTTTGCTGCTTCCAAGGACAGTTCCAACTTCTATCTGCAAATGAACAACCTAAAAGCTGATGACTCGTCTGTCTATTATTGTGCAAGAGACACAGTGAAATAGATCTTAAGGGATCCTAACGTAAAAACGTTTCACTACTGAAATATCTCAAGAGGGGACACCAGAGAACCACAAAATGAGTTGTCTAGCATGTGGAACAAAACCACGCAGGCAGAGAAGAGATGGAAATGAAAAGAGAAAACAAAAATACCCCCAAATATATTATTACTCTACACTTAGTGTGTTTGAACATCTTTCACTTATTGGTTGCTGTGGTTTCCTGCAGGTTCTTCTTCCAATGCCAGATGACATCTCAAAATGGGTTCGCCATAGGTTCACAACCACTGATCTATAATGCCGTATAATCAGATTACTTGCCTTCATTTTGTTTGATTGTCATTATTTTTACTATTTTCAAAACTTTTTGCTTTATTGCTCTTTCTTAGTTTTCTTTTATATTCTATTTTACATTTATCCTTTAAATTTGCATCAAAATCAGTGAGAGGGGGGGGAGAGAGGGAGAGAGAGAGATTTGTACGTACGTATGTACGTATGTATAGAATTGCTACACTAATGATGGCGAATCTTTTAGAGGCCGAGTGCCAAAAATGCAACCCATAACCCACTTATGCATTGTCAGGTGCCAGGTGTGTGGCCCATTGGCTGGGTATGGCCAATTGGGTGGGAGTGGCTGTGGTGGTAATGGCAGACTTGGTGGGACTAAAAGTTCAATCAATCAATTCTAACTTTGCAAGATCTTTTTTTTTTTTGCCCACGAGAAATTGAAATTGACTGATTGAACCTTTTTTTTTTTTTTTTTGCACATAGCAGCGGAGGCCTAAAATGAAAAGGTTTTATAAAACCCAGGTGAAGGCCTAGGACTGGGGCAACAGTGTGCGTGCCCACAGAGAGGGCTCTGAGTGCAGCCTCTGGCACCCTTGCCATAGGTTTGCCACCACTGGGCTACACCAACTAATATGAAAAACCTATGAAAATAGAATTCAGTGAATATCTGAAAGATTCTTATATTGGAAAACGGGATTACATATTAGATGCCTAATAATTATTCACTTAGCTTAATGCTATTTAATGAAAACATACCTAGTTCACTAATTCAGGAGTATGAAAAATGTCCTACACATCACTTTAACATTATTGATTAGTATCACTTTCTTATTTTTTCACCCTAAATTCTTTATACAGTATTTTAAGCTGAAAAACTCCAGGAATTGGATGAACTAGGGAAAAAAAAACCTTCACCTGTTCTTTCTCCTCTGTTTCTTTAGAAAAAGACTGGGGGCTGCCCTTGAAGGTGATTTCTAATCTGCATTGTTTGAGAATTTAGAGGGATGTGCAGTTTGGACATTATAAAACTTCTAATGCAGTGGTTCTCAACCTTTCTAATTCCGTGACCCCATAATACAGTTCTCTATGTTGTGGTGACCCCCAACCACTTATACATCACTGGGTGCCAGGGGCGTGGCCAAAGAAAAGGGGAAAAAATGGCTGACAGCCTTGTTTGGCGACCCACAGGTTGAGAACCACTGTTCTAATGTATCAACTACACTAGCTTCCACTTCAAAATTCTAGTATTACCTATAGAACAGTAGGATCAGATTATTTGCCTTACTTCATTGTGTTAGATTGTCGATTAATGACTACCTGAACTGACAGTACAGGCCTCCTCCAAGATGGGGCCCGGATTCTAAAATGTGTGTCACCACTCCAATCTAATGGAACAACATTCCCCAGGACATCTGAATGATCCTAACTTCATTGACATTTTAAAAAATAAACATGAAAATCAGAATTTTCCCACATAATTTTGGTTCTGAGGATTGAATGAGTCTGTTGCTTAATTGTTTAATATCTACTTTGAATTGTAGACTAGGAATAAAATGAGTTTGGGCTTTGTGATTAGTATTGTTTGATCTTGAAAAGGCTGAGAAGCTAACAACTCATTATTTTTGGGTGAGAGGATTATCAAGATTCCCAGGGCCAAGCCTATATGGACACTTTTGAATTTAAATTAATTTTTCAGTTTATCTGTGAGCCTATAGATTGAGTTAAATTTTATTTCTTAAATTAAATTAAAAAGTTCATGGAGTTTTAATGAAAATGACAAAACATATGAATTTAATATTCTCTTCAGTATCTTTATCTAAAAGTGCCAAGTTACAGGAAAAGGAGTTAGTTCGGTTGACCTTAAGCTGAAAATGTTCTCCTAATTTTGCAGTCCCCAAGAAAGGACCACATCCTTATAATATGGAGATGATGCAAATTAATTCCACTGCTTCATCTTCTTAAAAGCAGTTCTTGCAAACTTACATCTGCAGAGCCAATCATTAGTTAGCCTCAAGAAAGTCAAGCGGAATGGTAGATATGCTTCTTTGGGCTTTCCTCCTGTTCCTTCTTCATCTTTCAGGTAGATCTCCTCTCATAACGAAAAGTAGGAGGTAATAAACGTTACTCCTCAGGTTTCCTTCTGATTCCCTGTTGATGTTTGATTTTCAGGCTGCTACTCAGAGGTGAAGTTGGTGGAGACTGGAGGAGGTGTTGTAGTCCCTGGAGGTTCCCTCCGCCTAATCTGTAAAGCATCTGGATTCAACTTTACTGGCTATACAATGCACTGGATCCGTCAGTCTCCAGGAAAAGGATTGGAGTGGGTGGCTGGTGTAAGCCAACCAGAAGGAACTAAACAATGGTATAACTCTAAAGTGGAGGGAAGATTCACTGTCTCTAGGGACAATTCACAGACTTCAGCTTATCTCCAGATGAACAACTTGAAGCCTGAAGACTCTGCCTTGTATTATTGTGCAAGGCGCACAGTGATTCCATCTGCTTTCCTCCTTGTACAATTTCTCTATGGGTCTCTTGCAAGGAGAAGCCGAGAGCAAAAAGCAGAAACATTCAGCCTTCTTTAAGAATCTTTTTGTTTTGTTTTTGTTTTCCTTTTTACTGTTTTTAATACTTGTTTTTTTTATTGCTGTTTGTTTTCTATCTTTCTTCCATATTCTATTTTGCATTTACCTTTTAACTTTGCATAAAAGTCATGTGTACATACTGTGAGAAGTTTTATATCAAAATATATTTTATTTTTATACTTTTTCCATTTTCCCTTAAAACATTAACAGAATCCACAATGGACTGAGAACCTGTGTTTCCACTAGATAATTGACAATCAAGCTAAAACTAAATTAATCAAGTAAAAATAGCAAACAGGAGAAAATCTTTAACTCAAACTTCCTCAATCCCCCAAATAAGTTATCCAGACAAAATCCACATATCAAAGGATAAGGTTTGTAAATACAAATAGTGTGAATTAAATTAGATTTCCCAGTGGAACTGCATGTTTAAAAGAATAAACATCATAGACATACCTACACACACACACACACAAACACACACACACACACACACACACAGAGAGAGAGAGAGAGAGAGAGAGAGAGAGAGAGAGAGAGAGAGAGAGAGAGAGAGAGAGAGAGAGAGAGAGAGAGCTCAAGTGTCATCTTAGAATCAGGATGTAGACACTTCCACATCAGGACAACCTCCCCTATATGTCTGTTGCTGTTCCCCATTTCTTTGCAACTGCCCCTAAAAGCAAACTCTTTGCTTTTAGGAATAAATATTATTTCTTCTTCTTCTTCTTCTTCTTCTTCCTCTTCTTCTTCTTCTTCTTCTTCTTCTTCTTCTTCTTCTTCTTCTTCTTCTTCTTCTTCTTCTTCTTCTTCTTCTTCTTCTTCTTCTTCTTCTTCTTCTACAGTTGTCTGGATCTCATTTTTATTCATTCTTGTGCAACTCTGTCTCAGGTTGGAATCCCCAATTATTCTTCTGAAAATATAAATTCAGAAAAAAATAGTAAGTGTTGGTATTTTGTTCTCTATTATATTTTCCCTTTGTTGCTTCCACAAATTAAGCAAAAAGGTAAGCACTGATTCATTCTGATATCAAAATAGAATGAAACAGAACATAATGGAATGGAGAGGTTAGAAAAAAAGAGAAGGTAAGGGAACATGACTATTTAGGATAGGATAGGATAGGATAGGATAGGATGGGATGGGATGGGATGGGATGGGATGGGATGGGATGGGATGGGATGGGATGGGATGGGACGGGACCGAACGGAATGGAACAGAAAGGAACAGAACAGAACAGAACAGAACAGAATAGAATAGAGTAGAATACTTTATTGGCTAATATGATTAGACACATAAGGAATTTGTCTCCGATTCAGAAGCTCTCTGTGTAATGCAAAGCAACAGAGTAATAATAATTCATAATAATGATACAAATAAGAGGAGATAGTAGAGAAGTTGAGAAAAAGAAGAATAGAGCCATACAACATGGGTGAATATACTTAGACATTAGAGCCATGGTGGTGCAGTGGTTAGAATTTAGAATTGCAGGCTGATTCTGCTGTCAGCAGTTCGATTCTGGCTGGTTCAAGATTGACTCAGCCTTCCATCCTTCCAAAGTCACTAAAATGAGGACCCAGATTATTGGGGGCAATATGCTGACTCTGTAAACTGCTTAGAAAGGTTGTAAAGCATTGTGAAATGATATATAAGTCTAAGTGCTATTGCTACTGTGAGGGTTAGGTGCTCAGCAGAGTGATAGCTCAATGAAAAAAACTATCCCGGTGTCTAGGTGTTTTGACATGTAATGCTATAGGACATGTAATGCCCTACATTCATGCAGACATAAAATGTCTGCAAGTAAAATTTCATCAAAGACTTCATGCAGAACTGAGATTTAAATTTCTCTCCATCTCACTTTATCAAAAGAAAGAGAAAGAGGTCCATGAGCCAACCGGGTAACAGATTCAGGTTTTAAGTCTTCATTTATTTCTCACCAATCAATAGAAGAGGAACTCATGCAAAGTTTATGAGATGCAATGCTGATGCTTCTCTTCAAAATAAGCCTATCCAGTGTGAGTTCCTCACTTCCTCTGAACTTCAAAGACCTCACTGGGACATCCTAGATGGCCATCATGGGATTATGGTTCTTTGCATATTGTTTTATAGTCCTCCCAAGATGTAAGAATTTTTAATGGAAAATTAGGAGATCTTTATTGAGTCAGTGATGTTGTTTACTGATTGCAATTCTTTCTTTCTTTTTTTCCAAAGGGGTCTTCTCAGAAATTCAGCTTATAGAATCTGGGCCAGGAATGGTGAGACCTGGAAATCAATTCAACCTAGTTTGTAAATTGTCAAGTTCCTCCATTGTTAGTTCTTCATCTTATGCTTGACATTGGATCAGGCAACCACCTGGGAAAGGTCTTGAATGGCTTTCAGTCATAAATGTCAACCATGGAGGCAAATGGTATGCCAATTCTGTAAAAGACCATGCCACCATTTCTGCAGATCAGTCCAGTTCAGTTTTCCCTCCAACTGAATTCTGTCACAGCGGCAGACTCATCTGTGTAATTCTGTGCCCAAGAACGCATAATGATAAATATTTATTATGGTGGGTCAAAACAGGGTTTTGTTATGGAGGAAACACAGCGAAATAGGTCTTAAGGTAACTTGTGCAAAAACATTTCCTTTAATTACTGAAATGTCTCAAGAGGGGACATCAGAGAAACACTAAATGAGTTGTCTAAGCATCTGGAACAAAATCATCCAGGCAGAAAAAGGATGGAGGTCAAAAGACAAAACAAATATACTCCCAAATATATTACTCCATATTTACTATAGTTCAACATCATTCATTGAGTGGTTTCTTATTAGTTTGCTATGGTTTCCTGCGGTGTCATCTTTTTGCAGCATCAAAAGACAGCTCAAAACAAGTTCCTTTCCTTCTTCAGGACTTTCTTTCGGAGGGTTTCCTGAGTTGCCTTCCATGGGAAGCCATATTTTTCATTAAACATTTTGAATTGTATAGAATTGCCTCTCCTTTTTTCACCCCCAGATAATTTTAATTTGAGAATATGTGCCACACAATAATAATGTACAAACATAAGGCAGGCATCCATGCACTTTAGCTATCTTTTCAGAATAAATGAATTAATAAATAAAGGAGGGAGGGAGGAAGAAAAGAGGGAGAAATGAGGGGAAAAGAAAGAAAGAAAGAAAGAAAGAAAGAAAGAAAGAAAGAAAGAAAGAAAGAAAGAAAGAAAGAAAAGATCAGCCACAATAGCAGAAGTCTGATTCTGGTGTGGTTCCCACCCTTCTTATTGTATATCCCAATGAATTGGAGAGCTTCTTGTCTGAACCACTTCCAAATATTATTTGGCCATTCTGGACTTTACAAAATTGTTTGGTTCCCCTTTGTAACAGTTTCTGTGTAATTCCACCAAAGTTACCTTTCCCTTTCCCTTTACTTTTGAGAATGGGAGAGATGAAGCCCAAGACCACCCTATTTTGAGAGCAGGTAACAGGATTTCATTTTTAACGTGGGCCAGTGTGCTCAAAGCAAAAAATGACAGTAAAGGTTATCTTATCTTATGTCTTATCTAGATGTCTTTGTTAGTGACTGTCTGGCTGGCAAATTCAATATTGAAGAAACTCTATGGTCTTGAGATGCCATAAGAGATCATCTTTATTGAATACACCTCGCAGTAATGAAGAAGCAAAATCAACTCTAGTTTTCCCATGTGAAAATCTGGTTAGTTAACAATAGCTTTTCATAACTCCCACCCACCAAGTGTTCACATTGCCCAATCACATCTCTTTGTTTGTTATGGGAACAATCCACTTCTCTGTCTGACACCTGCTTTCGACGACCTTGGGTCTCCCGGTCCGTGGATGGCTTCTTGAAACTCCCATCTTTTTTCCAGGTTCTCCCTCCCCTCTGTTTCTATGGCAAGTTAAGTAGCAACAGAGATTAGCAAGCATCTTAGCAATTCAACCTTGTTAAGGCATCTCTGCAGTCACCAAGAGTCAACTTTGCCATTCATCTCACATTTATACAGTTTCCACCTGGCTTTATGCAAAATCATCCTCACTTTCACTTCTCATTTAAACCTTCAAAGGTTCCCCTCTCTGGTAAACAGAAAAGTTCCCCTCACAGAAGCCTTCAGAGAGCCAGCCATTCTTCTACTATGTTGTCCTTCTTTCCAGTTCTGCTCACACTGGCAGTCTTCTCTTCCCGTGTGTTCATTTTGCCATTTTATTCTATTTCCTTCAATGAAATGAACTGTCAGTTCTTAACAATGGCTATCATGTCTTCACTGTCATCCAGTTCTGTTCTTTCTCCTCTGTTTAGGAAGTGACTCCCAGATATTCTTGCCCCAGTCGAATTCAGTGAATAAACCAGGAGAAGCTCATAAACTGACTTGCGATCTCACTGGATTTGATGTTAACAACTACTGGATGAGTTGGATCAGACAGAAACCTGGTCAAGGACTGGAATGGCTTGTTCACTATTACTCCTCTATTAACAACTATTATTCACCGACAATCCAAGGACGCTTTACTGCCTCCAAGGACGGATCCAAGTTCTATCTGCAAATGAACAACCTCAAAGCTGAGGACACGGCTGTGTATTATTGTGCAAGAAACACAGTGAAAGAAATCCTAGGAAATTTCATGCAAAAACTCTTCCTTTAAATTGCTGAAATATCTTAAAAGGGGATGTCAGAGAACCACTCAATGATTTGCTTAGCCTATGAAACAAACTCAGTGAGGCAGAGAGATGTGGGATAAAAAGACAAAACAAATACACAAACCAGTGAAAGATTATTCACCCACACTTAAAATGGTTCAAAACCTTTGCTTGTTAAGCTCCATCTGGACTGCTGTGGCTTTTGTGGTCATCAGCTCCAGATTTCTTTATAAAACAGAAAATAATTCTCACTGTAACTGTTGCTTTATGGACAGTTTGTTTTTGTTTTATTTTTGAATCCTCAATTTTGGTATTTTAGTAATCTCTATAATCTTATTTCTGTTCATAATCTCTATCTTCTTATTCATGCCGAAATACCATAGATTGGGACATCAGCACGATGTTCTGCATCCTATGGTAATTGAGGATGGATAGGAGAAAATAGAAAAGTGTGGGCAGAATTTGAAGAAGACAAATGGAAATAGTCTGTTCCTTGTGGGAGATTAACAGTAAGAAAATTCATACATCCACACTATATATGCTGTATATGCCACACTATATAAAAACAGAAGAATGAAGCTCATATTTACAATTCCACTCACTTTTAAATAAGAATATGGAAGTATCCTGTGTCCAGAAGTATATGATCACATGCACTTCAAAAATGCCATCAGACCCTGGCTTGCATTCGCAGGGCAACAAAATAAAAGAGGGTCATATGTCATTTCCTCAAGGATGGAGACACCAAGAGATATACAGAGATTTACCCTATATTATCAGGCTGACATTCAGTTACAATATAATGAGAAATTGGGTAGTGAGAGAGCATTAGGTCCTAAGGACATTCCAAACACATTACACTATAATTAAATAGCATATGGAACACAAAGAAAGAACAATTTAAGAAAGGAATGATCAAGTCAGATGCATCTTGGGGATTGGGAGAAAACATTGATGGAAAGGCACAAAATGAAAAAGTTGTGGATTCATCTTGTATTTATACAGTTCACATCTGGATTTATGCAAAACTGGCATCACTTCTTCTTTTCATTTAAACCATGACAACTTCTCAGCTCACACAAACTGACAGGCTTATTTCAAAGAAGGCCTCAAAAATCCAGCCATTCTTCCACTATGGTGTCCTTCTATTCAGTTCTCCTCACACTGGTCATCTTCTCTTCTCGTCCATTTCTTTTTCCATGTCATTCTTTGTGGCACTCCATTGAAGCTGAGTTCCTCAGCCGTAGCTGTGATGTTGTAACCCCCCTCCAATTCTGTTGTTTCTTCTCTGTTTAGGTGGCCTCTCTCAGAAAGTTCTGAACCAGTCAGATCCAGTGCTGAAGAAACCAGGAGAAGCTCATAAACCTACTTGATCTGTCACTGGATTCAACATTCACAGCTACGGGATGGATTGGGTCAGAAAGAAACTCAGTCAAAGACTGGAATGGATAGTTTACCATCACACCTCTAGTAGCAACCTTTATTCTCCCACAATCCAAGGAAGGTTTACTAGCTCCAAAGACAATTCCAACTTCTATTTGCAAATGAACAACCTAAAAATAGAAGAGACAGCCATATATTACTATGCAGGGGAGGCAGAGTGAAAGGAGTCCCAAAAGATGTCATACAAAATCTCTTCACTGTATTAATAATGTGACCCTAAAGGGGTCACCAGAGATCCACTAAATGATTGCTTCACATTTGGAAGTGAATCACCAATGAAATAGCTAATCAAAAGAAATTACAAAGAAGAAATATTATAGTGCACATTTAATATGGTTCAATAGCTTTTACTTATTGATTTCCAACTAGACTGCTGTGGTTTTTCTTTTCTAATGCAAGATGTCATTTCAAATTGTGTTTATGTTTGCCTTCATGCTTACATCTGTGTTTAATCTGTCTTTGAATTCTCTTCCTTCCTTCCCCAAACTATGGATAAGTTTAATTATAACTATGCCAAAGGTACTTTTTCACGAGGCAACTGGACTTTCTGACTTTTCAAGAAAGTCCAGTTGCCTTGAGAAAAATCACATTTGGGGTAACCATGACCTCAATGACTAAGAATCTCCATAGATGTTCTAATATAACTACTGTATTTCATTCTGGGCCTTCCCATCATTATTGTATCCCAAAATGACTTCAATCTTGGCTGGAGACTCTTGAGAATTCTAGAGTTGTACTCTACATTGCCAAGCTGAAAAACTTCTCATGGAAAGAGAATGGCAATCCATTTCCTTAGAATTGCCTAAAACCCTGCAGGATTGTTTATACACAATCACTGAAGAGTTAAAGTCAGCTGTAGTTTTCTGTGCACATTGATTCAATAGGACTTCAAAATAAAATGGTGGACTTTCTAAGTTTAGCATTTAGAAATCTTGGTGACTATGTAAAAAGAGGCTAGCTAGTTTAAGATAGAGAATTTAAGCTCAAGCACCCCTATCTTGGACCCTAAGGGAACACATTCTAAAATACATTACATTACACTTAAATAAGAAATGAAACAAAATGTACAATTGTGTCATCTGGGTGGATATGTTAAAATAGTGCAATGGCTTCAATTTGCAGAAGAGATTAGTGTATACTGGGCAAGACACCCTGATATTCATCTCAGATTTATACAGTTTCCATCAGGATTTATGCAAATTTGGCATCATTTTCACTTCTCATTTATATCCTCAGAGCTCCCCATCTCACTAGACAGATTCACCTCACAGAAGCCATCAAAGATCTAACCATTCCTCCACTATGCCGTACTTCCTTCCAGTTCTCTTCACATTGGCTGTCTTCTCTTCCCGTGTGTTCATTTTGCCATTTTATTCTATTGCTTTTATTCCTTGAAGTGAAGTTTCAATTCTTAACTGTGGCTGTGATGTCCTAACTCTCCTCCAATTCTGCTCTTCTTTATTTAGGAAGCCTCTCCCAGATAGTCCTGACCCAGTCAGATCCAGTGCTGAAAAAAACAGGAGAAGCCCATAAACTGACGTGTGTTGTCACTGGATTTAATGTTAACAGCTACTGGATGGGTTGGATCAGACAGAAACCTGGCCAAGGACTGGAATGGCTTGTTTGGTACTATGACCCTAGGAATACCATCTATTATTCAACAACAATCCAAGGACGCTTTACTCCCTCCAAGGACAGTTCCAATTTCTATCTGCAAATGAACAACCTGAAAACTGAAGACACGGCTGTGTATTATTGTGCAAGAGACACAGTGAAAGGAGTCCTAGGAGAACTCATGCAAAAACCCTTTCTTTAATGACTGAATTATCTTGAAACAGGATGCCAGAGAATCACTCAATGATTTGTCTAGTCTATGAATGAACTCAGCCAGGCAGAATGGAGTGGGATAAATAGGCAAAAAACATACATGAAACAGAGAGAGATTAATCATCCATACTTAATATAGTTCAGCAACTTTTGCTTATTAGTCTCCATCTGAACTGCTGTGGCTTTCTTCTTCAGATGCAAAGAAGCAACACAATACACGTTCTTTATCATCTTCATGCTTCCAACTAACCGTGTGCATGTGTCTTCTTCCATGTGAATTGTTATCACTCATTAAACATTTGGAGTTATGTAATCTTTTGTTTCTTGCCATTTTCCGTGTACCAAGTTGTATTTCTCAAAAGCGTGGTGCGCAGTTATGAATTATATCCAAACATTTGTGGTCATAAGACCTAGAATTTTTTTTTGTATTATAAAACATCAAAAAATTCTTACTATACCATTCATTTATGGACAAATATTTTCTTTCTATCCTCAGTTTTGGCATATTAGTGGTTGATTTTCTCTCTACTTTTTTCATAATGATCTTTTTGTTTTTCCCTATGTTCTCATTCATGTCAAAATACCAGCAATGGGTGGAGGAAAGATTATTGCTTTTTATGTTTTTATTTTTGGTTTTTATCCTTGTAAACTGCCCAGTATCATTGAGAGGGAGTTGGTTGGACATAAACATTTAATTAAATAAATACTTTATGGAGACCAGCAGAGAAATCCAGAGATGTTCCCTATGTTACCAGGCTGACATTTAGCTACAGTGCAAATAACAAGGTGGATAGTTGAAGTGAGAGAGCATTAGATCCTAAGGACATTCCCAAGCACATTACATTTTAATTAAATAGCAAACGGAAGAAAAAGAACAATTTAGAGAAAGGAGTTATCCAATCAGATGTATAAAACATTTAATAGCTTCTTTTGCAGATCAGATTAACTTAGATATTTTAATACTCTTGGCTATTCATCATGCATTTAGACAATTTCCATCTGGTTTTATGCAAAGCTGGCATACTTCCACTTTTCATTTAAACCATGACAACTTCTCAGCTCACATAAACTGACAAACTCATTTCACAGAAGCCCTCAAAGATCCAGCCATTCTTCCACTATGGTGTCCTTCTGTTCAATTCTCCTCACACTGGTCATCTTCTCTTCTCGTCCATTTCTTTTTCCATGTCATTCTTTGTGGCACTCCATTGAAGCTGAGTTCCTCAGCCGTAGTTGTAACCCCCCTCCAATTCTGTTGTTTCTTCTCTGTTTAGGTGGCCTCTCTCAGAAAGTTCTGAACCAGTCAGATCCAGTGCTGAAGAAACCAGGAGAAGCTCATAAACCTACTTGATCTGTCACTGGATTCAACATTCACAGCTACGGGATGGATTGGGTCAGAAAGAAACTCAGTCAAAGACTGGAATGGATAGTTTACCATCACACCTCTAGTAGCAACCTTTATTCTCCCACAATCCAAGGAAGGTTTACTAGCTCCAAAGACAATTCCAACTTCTATTTGCAAATGAACAACCTAAAAATAGAAGAGACAGCCATATATTACTATGCAGGGGAGGCAGAGTGAAAGGAGTCCCAAAAGATGTCATACAAAATCTCTTCACTGTATTAATAATGTGACCCTAAAGGGGTCACCAGAGATCCACTAAATGATTGCTTCACATTTGGAAGTGAATCACCAATGAAATAGCTAATCAAAAGAAATTACAAAGAAGAAATATTATAGTGCACATTTAATATGGTTCAATAGCTTTTACTTATTGATTTCCAACTAGATTGCTGTGGTTTTTCTTTTCTAATGCAAGATGTCATTTCAAATTGTGTTTATGTTTGCCTTCATGCTTACATCTGTGTTTAATCTGTCTTTGAATTCTCTTCCTTCCTTCCCCAAACTATGGATAAGTTTAATTATAACTATGCCAAAGGTACTTTTTCACGAGGCAACTGGACTTTCTGACTTTTCAAGAAAGTCCAGTTGCCTTGAGAAAAATCACATTTGGGGTAACCATGACCTCAATGACTAAGAATCTCCATAGATGTTCTAATATAACTACTGTATTTCATTCTGGGCCTTCCCATCATTATTGTATCCCAAAATGACTTCAATCTTGGCTGGAGACTCTTGAGAATTCTAGAGTTGTACTCTACATTGCCAAGCTGAAAAACTTCTCATGGAAAGAGAATGGCAATCCATTTCCTTAGAATTGCCTAAAACCCTGCAGGATTGTTTATACACAATCACTGAAGAGTTAAAGTCAGCTGTAGTTTTCTGTGCACATTGATTCAATAGGACTTCAAAATAAAATGGTGGACTTTCTAAGTTTAGCATTTAGAAATCTTGGTGACTATGTAAAAAGAGGCTAGCTAGTTTAAGATAGAGAATTTAAGCTCAAGCACCCCTATCTTGGACCCTAAGGGAACACATTCTAAAATACATTACATTACACTTAAATAAGAAATGAAACAAAATGTACAATTGTGTCATCTGGGTGGATATGTTAAAATAGTGCAATGGCTTCAATTTGCAGAAGAGATTAGTGTATACTGGGCAAGACACCCTGATATTCATCTCAGATTTATACAGTTTCCATCAGGATTTATGCAAATTTGGCATCATTTTCACTTCTCATTTATATCCTCAGAGCTCCCCATCTCACTAGACAGATTCACCTCACAGAAGCCATCAAAGATCTAACCAGTCCTCCACTATGCCGTACTTCCTTCCAGTTCTCTTCACATTGGCTGTCTTCTCTTCCCGTGTGTTCATTTTGCCATTTTATTCTATTGCTTTTATTCCTTGAAGTGAAGTTTCAATTCTTAACTGTGGCTGTGATGTCCTAACTCTCCTCCAATTCTGCTCTTCTTTATTTAGGAAGCCTCTCCCAGATAGTCCTGACCCAGTCAGATCCAGTGCTGAAAAAAACAGGAGAAGCCCATAAACTGACGTGTGTTGTCACTGGATTTAATGTTAACAGCTACTGGATGGGTTGGATCAGACAGAAACCTGGCCAAGGACTGGAATGGCTTGTTTGGTACTATGACCCTAGGAATACCATCTATTATTCAACAACAATCCAAGGACGCTTTACTCCCTCCAAGGACAGTTCCAATTTCTATCTGCAAATGAACAACCTGAAAACTGAAGACACGGCTGTGTATTATTGTGCAAGAGACACAGTGAAAGGAGTCCTAGGAGAACTCATGCAAAAACCCTTTCTTTAATGACTGAATTATCTTGAAACAGGATGCCAGAGAATCACTCAATGATTTGTCTAGTCTATGAATGAACTCAGCCAGGCAGAATGGAGTGGGATAAATAGGCAAAAAACATACATGAAACAGAGAGAGATTAATCATCCATACTTAATATAGTTCAGCAACTTTTGCTTATTAGTCTCCATCTGAACTGCTGTGGCTTTCTTCTTCAGATGCAAAGAAGCAACACAATACACGTTCTTTATCATCTTCATGCTTCCAACTAACCGTGTGCATGTGTCTTCTTCCATGTGAATTGTTATCACTCATTAAACATTTGGAGTTATGTAATCTTTTGTTTCTTGCCATTTTCCGTGTACCAAGTTGTATTTCTCAAAAGCGTGGTGCGCAGTTATGAATTATATCCAAACATTTATGGTCATAAGACCTAGAATTTTTTTTGTATTATAAAACATCAAAAAATTCTTACTATACCATTCATTTATGGACAAATATTTTCTTTCTATCCTCAGTTTTGGCATATTAGTGGTTGATTTTCTCTCTACTTTTTTCATAATGATCTTTTTGTTTTTCCCTATGTTCTCATTCATGTCAAAATACCAGCAATGGGTGGAGGAAAGATTATTGCTTTTTATGTTTTTATTTTTGGTTTTTATCCTTGTAAACTGCCCAGTATCATTGAGAGGGAGTTGGTTGGACATAAACATTTAATTAAATAAATACTTTATGGAGACCAGCAGAGAAATCCAGAGATGTTCCCTATGTTACCAGGCTGACATTTAGCTACAGTGCAAATAACAAGGTGGATAGTTGAAGTGAGAGAGCATTAGATCCTAAGGACATTCCCAAGCACATTACATTTTAATTAAATAGCAAACGGAAGAAAAAGAACAATTTAGAGAAAGGAGTTATCCAATCAGATGTATAAAACATTTAATAGCTTCTTTTGCAGATCAGATTAACTTAGATATTTTAATACTCTTGGCTATTCATCATGCATTTAGACAATTTCCATCTGGTTTTATGCAAAGCTGGCATACTTCCACTTTTCATTTAAACCATGACAACTTCTCAGCTCACATAAACTGACAAACTCATTTCACAGAAGCCCTCAAAGATCCAGCCATTCTTCCACTATGGTGTCCTTCTGTTCAATTCTCCTCACACTGGTCATCTTCTCTTCTCGTCCATTTCTTTTTCCATGTCATTCTTTGTGGCACTCCATTGAAGCTGAGTTCCTCAGCCGTAGTTGTAACCCCCCTCCAATTCTGTTGTTTCTTCTCTGTTTAGGTGGCCTCTCTCAGAAAGTTCTGAACCAGTCAGATCCAGTGCTGAAGAAACCAGGAGAAGCTCATAAACCTACTTGATCTGTCACTGGATTCAACATTCACAGCTACGGGATGGATTGGGTCAGAAAGAAACTCAGTCAAAGACTGGAATGGATAGTTTACCATCACACCTCTAGTAGCAACCTTTATTCTCCCACAATCCAAGGAAGGTTTACTAGCTCCAAAGACAATTCCACTTCTATTTGCAAATGAACAACCTAAAAATAGAAGAGACAGCCATATATTACTATGCAGGGGAGGCAGAGTGAAAGGAGTCCCAAAAGATGTCATACAAAATCTCTTCACTGTATTAATAATGTGACCCTAAAGGGGTCACCAGAGATCCACTAAATGATTGCTTCACATTTGGAAGTGAATCACCAATGAAATAGCTAATCAAAAGAAATTACAAAGAAGAAATATTATAGTGCACATTTAATATGGTTCAATAGCTTTTACTTATTGATTTCCAACTAGACTGCTGTGGTTTTTCTTTTCTAATGCAAGATGTCATTTCAAATTGTGTTTATGTTTGCCTTCATGCTTACATCTGTGTTTAATCTGTCTTTGAATTCTCTTCCTTCCTTCCCCAAACTATGGATAAGTTTAATTATAACTATGCCAAAGGTACTTTTTCACGAGGCAACTGGACTTTCTGACTTTTCAAGAAAGTCCAGTTGCCTTGAGAAAAATCACATTTGGGGTAACCATGACCTGGATGACTAAGAATCTCCATAGATGTTCTAATATAACTACTGTATTTCATTCTGGGCCTTCCCATCATTATTGTATCCCAAAATGACTTCAATCTTGGCTGGAGACTCTTGAGAATTCTAGAGTTGTACTCTACATTGCCAAGCTGAAAAACTTCTCATGGAAAGAGAATGGCAATCCATTTCCTTAGAATTGCCTAAAACCCTGCAGGATTGTTTATACACAATCACTGAAGAGTTAAAGTCAGCTGTAGTTTTCTGTGCACATTGATTCAATAGGACTTCAAAATAAAATGGTGGACTTTCTAAGTTTAGCATTTAGAAATCTTGGTGACTATGTAAAAAGAGGCTAGCTAGTTTAAGATAGAGAATTTAAGCTCAAGCACCCCTATCTTGGACCCTAAGGGAACACATTCTAAAATACATTACATTACACTTAAATAAGAAATGAAACAAAATGTACAATTGTGTCATCTGGGTGGATATGTTAAAATAGTGCAATGGCTTCAATTTGCAGAAGAGATTAGTGTATACTGGGCAAGACACCCTGATATTCATCTCAGATTTATACAGTTTCCATCAGGATTTATGCAAATTTGGCATCATTTTCACTTCTCATTTATATCCTCAGAGCTCCCCATCTCACTAGACAGATTCACCTCACAGAAGCCATCAAAGATCTAACCAGTCCTCCACTATGCCGTACTTCCTTCCAGTTCTCTTCACATTGGCTGTCTTCTCTTCCCGTGTGTTCATTTTGCCATTTTATTCTATTGCTTTTATTCCTTGAAGTGAAGTTTCAATTCTTAACTGTGGCTGTGATGTCCTAACTCTCCTCCAATTCTGCTCTTCTTTATTTAGGAAGCCTCTCCCAGATAGTCCTGACCCAGTCAGATCCAGTGCTGAAAAAAACAGGAGAAGCCCATAAACTGACGTGTGTTGTCACTGGATTTAATGTTAACAGCTACTGGATGGGTTGGATCAGACAGAAACCTGGCCAAGGACTGGAATGGCTTGTTTGGTACTATGACCCTAGGAATACCATCTATTATTCAACAACAATCCAAGGACGCTTTACTCCCTCCAAGGACAGTTCCAATTTCTATCTGCAAATGAACAACCTGAAAACTGAAGACACGGCTGTGTATTATTGTGCAAGAGACACAGTGAAAGGAGTCCTAGGAGAACTCATGCAAAAACCCTTTCTTTAATGACTGAATTATCTTGAAACAGGATGCCAGAGAATCACTCAATGATTTGTCTAGTCTATGAATGAACTCAGCCAGGCAGAATGGAGTGGGATAAATAGGCAAAAAACATACATGAAACAGAGAGAGATTAATCATCCATACTTAATATAGTTCAGCAACTTTTGCTTATTAGTCTCCATCTGAACTGCTGTGGCTTTCTTCTTCAGATGCAAAGAAGCAACACAATACACGTTCTTTATCATCTTCATGCTTCCAACTAACCGTGTGCATGTGTCTTCTTCCATGTGAATTGTTATCACTCATTAAACATTTGGAGTTATGTAATCTTTTGTTTCTTGCCATTTTCCGTGTACCAAGTTGTATTTCTCAAAAGCGTGGTGCGCAGTTATGAATTATATCCAAACATTTGTGGTCATAAGACCTAGAATTTTTTTTTGTATTATAAAACATCAAAAAATTCTTACTATACCATTCATTTATGGACAAATATTTTCTTTCTATCCTCAGTTTTGGCATATTAGTGGTTGATTTTCTCTCTACTTTTTTCATAATGATCTTTTTGTTTTTCCCTATGTTCTCATTCATGTCAAAATACCAGCAATGGGTGGAGGAAAGATTATTGCTTTTTATGTTTTTATTTTTGGTTTTTATCCTTGTAAACTGCCCAGTATCATTGAGAGGGAGTTGGTTGGACATAAACATTTAATTAAATAAATACTTTATGGAGACCAGCAGAGAAATCCAGAGATGTTCCCTATGTTACCAGGCTGACATTTAGCTACAGTGCAAATAACAAGGTGGATAGTTGAAGTGAGAGAGCATTAGATCCTAAGGACATTCCCAAGCACATTACATTTTAATTAAATAGCAAACGGAAGAAAAAGAACAATTTAGAGAAAGGAGTTATCCAATCAGATGTATAAAACATTTAATAGCTTCTTTTGCAGATCAGATTAACTTAGATATTTTAATACTCTTGGCTATTCATCATGCATTTAGACAATTTCCATCTGGTTTTATGCAAAGCTGGCATACTTCCACTTTTCATTTAAACCATGACAACTTCTCAGCTCACATAAACTGACAAACTCATTTCACAGAAGCCCTCAAAGATCCAGCCATTCTTCCACTATGGTGTCCTTCTGTTCAATTCTCCTCACACTGGTCATCTTCTCTTCTCGTCCATTTCTTTTTCCATGTCATTCTTTGTGGCACTCCATTGAAGCTGAGTTCCTCAGCCGTAGTTGTAACCCCCCTCCAATTCTGTTGTTTCTTCTCTGTTTAGGTGGCCTCTCTCAGAAAGTTCTGAACCAGTCAGATCCAGTGCTGAAGAAACCAGGAGAAGCTCATAAACTTATTTGATCTGTCACTGGATTCAACATTCACAGCTACGGGATGGATTGGGTCAGAAAGAAACTCGGTCAAAGACTGGAATGGATAGTTTACCATCACACCTCTAGTAGCAACCTTTATTCTCCCACAATCCAAGGAAGGTTTACTAGGACCAAAGACAATTCCTACTTCTATCTGCAAATGAACAACCTAAAAATAGAAGAGACAGCCATATATTACTATGCAGGGGAGGCAGAGTGAAAGGAGTCCCAAAAGATGTCATACAAAATCTCTTCACTGTATTAATAATGTGACCCTAAAGGGGTCACCAGAGATCCACTAAATGATTGCTTCACATTTGGAAGTGAATCACCAATGAAATAGCTAATCAAAAGAAATTACAAAGAAGAAATATTATAGTGCACATTT